AGGAGGAGGAGGAGGTGAAGAAGAAGGTGGAGCAGTGCAAGGTGAGACTTTGCTTGCTCTCCCTCGTGGGGCACCTCCAGGGCTGCAGACTTGTTCCCCTTCACGGATTCCCTCCAAAGTGACCCTATACTGAGATAGATGCCGCCAGCCAGGATGTCCTGCCCTCCACAAGCAAACCAGTCCCTCAAGGAGCAGAAACAGGGGGATGCCCCAAGCTCAGGGAAGAAGAGGAATTAAGGGCTCAAAGCACAAGCTTCTGCAGAGAGGAGGCTCCAGGGGCTACAGCAGGGAGCTTATGGGGTCCCCTTGGGCTAGGAACCAGCTGAGCTGGGATCTGTGCTGAGTGGCCGGGGACCTCCACATCAACTTACTCCATGTTTCTCTGAAAAGCCCAGTGCCTTGTCTGGCAGAGCCATAGGCTCATTAGAGCTGGAGGTGCAGGCACCTCTTGTCCTGAGACACTTGTGTGAGCACCCTCATTGCAGGAGAGGTCACTGCCACTATAGAAATGCAAGCAATGAAGGCAAGGAGAAATGCCCCCACGGTCCCAGCCTGCCTCCCCACTGCACCCGGAAACCCTCTGTGGACAACTCACAGCCTGGATGAGAGGGTTTTGTGAAGGTGTCCGCTCTTCCTCAGGTGGAAGATTGCTCTTCTCTCTTGTCTCCCCTCCCAGGATGAGTACATGGCTGACCTGTACCACTTCTCCACCAAAGAGGACAGCTATGCCAGCTACTTCATCAAAGTAAGTCCTCTCTCACACTCATCCTCAGCATGTGAATGTCTCTTGGAGTATGTCTGAGCCATGCCTTGTCCCCATCTACACTAAGCCCTCAGCTTAGGGCAAGGGACAGCCCCAGACACCAGCAAATGCCTAAAGCTATCCTTGCTCCATGCACTGCAGGTTAATGCCATCACTAGCACCAACTACTTGTCCTGATGACCCTCCCTCTCCAATTTGCCCTCTACCCACCACTACAGACATGGTCCAATGACCACAAGGGGGTTCCCCCTGCAGCTTCCCCTTTGCCCTGTCTGTATGTGGGCACAATTCCTGGTGGGGGGCCTCTCTGAGAGAGGCTGATGCCAAAAGAAGCACTGTTTGCCTGTCCCATGTCTGGCAGCTGCTGGAAATCCAAGCTCAGTATCACCGGCAGTCCCTCGGATCTCTGGATTCGGCTCTGGCAGAGCTGAAGGAAAGCCACAGCCAGACAGGTACCCAATGGCTCTCCATGCAGCCCAGGGAGGACTGCAGCTGAGCCTAGGGGGATGCAACTGTGGCTTGTGAGGCTGGGAAAGCCAGGTTTTCCCTCACTGTGCCTGCTGCTGCCTCCTACGTCAGGTTGGTGGGTTGGGACCCACACCATGGGGATGCTGCCTCTGCTCTTGGTCAGAGCAAGATGTCACTGTGGCTGGATGCCAGATGACCCCAGAGGCCACCATCCCTCCTCACATTCACCTCTCTCTTCCAGAGCCCTCCTTCACTGCAGACACCCCAGTGGTGGGGTACTACGGTGTGCCCCTAGAGACACACCTCAAAAGCTTGGGCCGGGAGATCGCGCTGCCTATCGAAGCCTGTGTCATGATGCTGCTGGCCTCTGGCATGAGGGAGGAGGTAGGCAGCACTCCTGACCTCCCACCACCCTCCCTCCTTCCCCAAATGCAGCCCCCTCACATCCCTTCCCTCTTCACCTCATCTCCAGGGACTCTTCCGGCTGGCAGCTGGTGCCTCAGTGCTGAGGAAGCTGAAGAGCAGCCTGGCCAGTGGCTCCAATGCGCTGGAAGAGTTTTACTCAGACCCCCACGCCGTGGCCGGTAGGTGCCGGTGATGCAGCATAGGGGGACATGACCGGGCAGTCCCTGCTGTCCCCCAGCACCATCACCCCCATTGCTCCTCCTCCTCTGTCAGGTGCACTGAAGTCCTACCTGCGGGAGCTGCCCCAGCCTTTGATGACCTTCGAGCTCTATGACGAGTGGCTCCAAGTGGCCAGGTAGGTGCAGGCTTTGGGGCAGAAAAGCCTGGCAGGGGTCAAATAAACCCAGCTCACCCCCCTCCATCCCTCCTAGCACTCAGAGCAGGGCTGCTTGGCCTTGTTTGCCGTGTAGGGAGAGACACAGCACCTGGTCTGTCCCATGCTCAGCAGAAATCCGAATAGCCCAAAATGTTGGGGAACAGCAATAAAAAACAAGTCAGCGGAAGGAGAAAGGCTGCAACCTTTTATATTGTAGAAACAGTATATTGTGTGAAGACCCACTTGACCTCAGCAGTGTGAGCCCCATGGCTAGTGCCCAGTTTGGCCTCTTGCTTTTGCGATGGAAGGGGTGGTGAAGGGAACACGGCAAAAAGCCATGGAAAAGGGGAGAGTATCTTTCTGAAGGGATCAGCTCCATGCCAATGAGCCCCATAGTCACAGTGAAATAGGGTGCTCACCCCTGGGCCCACCCAGAAGCTGCGTTTGTATGATATGAAACCCTCTGAGCCTTTGGGGTGTGATTTTGTCCTCTCTGGATGCCTGCTTAGCTGCCCAGTAAAGGCAGCAGCAGGGCATCCCCAACCCCAGGGCCACGGCTCACACAGAGTGGCTAACACTGACCATCTTCCCTTGCACGCTGTCCCTCTCTGCCATAGGGAGCAGGCTGAGCTCCCCACTCCTCCTTCTCTCTTGCAGCTTAAAGGACGATGAGAGCCGCATACAGAGCCTGCGGGACACCTGCAGTCGCCTGCCCCATGAGAGCTACAACAACCTGAGGTGTTTTGTGAGGACAGGGCTCCTTCAGCAACCACTGGGGCAGCTCTTCCTTCCCCAAACCCACACATACCGCCCGCCTGACCACCTTTTACCCACAGGTATCTGATCAAGTTCTTAGCTAAGCTGGCTGAACACCAGGAGGTGAACAAAATGACCCCCAGCAATATCGCCATCGTGCTGGGCCCCAACCTGCTGTGGTCACAGCAGAGCACAGGGTAAGACCTTGCGTGGAGGGTGGGAGGCAGTGCCCCGGCCCCAGCTGGGGTGCCTGGAGAGCAAACACCATGGGAAAGGCTGATCCAGCAGCCTTCAGGCTGGTCTAAAGCACCTCCCTCCTCAAATACTGTCCCTTGTCCCCACGGTCCATGACTGGCACGTCCCTTCACCAAGTACGTGTCCTCTTGGCCACGCTGCAAAGTAGCATAGGGAGTGGCTGAGACCTGGAGAACCTATGACATGGATGGCCTCCAACACCAATTCCAGGGATTCCAGGACAGGGAACAAGGCCCACCTACTGCCCTCCCACACCCCTCAGGAATGAACACCAGAAGGGTTAATGGCCCGAGATACTTTTTCTGATGCCTCCCCCCACCTTTGTCTCTCAGAGACCCAATGCAACTGGACTTGGCCTCGGTCTCCTCCATCCAGGTGGTCAGTGTGGTTGAAGCCCTCATCCAGCACGCAGATACCCTCTTCCCTGGAGGTAGGGCCAGGGCCTCACCTGGGGGGTGACAGCCCAGGGTGAAGGGAGGAGGAAGAAAAGGGACATTTCTCCTTCCCCAGGGGGAGGGAAGCAGGGGTGGCTGCACCAGTCCCCTGCCATGGGGTCATCGGGGGAAGCTCTGGGCAGTAAGCCTCTCCTCATAGCATCTCCTCCTTTCTGTCCACCCAGAGGTAGATTTCAACGTCTCAGGCATGTTCATGCCACCTGCAAACAGCAGACTTAGCGAGGCCACCCCAGTGGAAGAGCTGACCCTTGATGTCCCTCCAACCAGCACCCCCAGTCTCCTAGATGGAGAGGTGTAAGTCTGGTGGGAGCTGGGGGCTCTCCCAGCTCTCCCCATGTCCTCCCTCATCCCACCCCACACCAGGCTCCCCGTGCCTAGCCAAAGCCTGACTTACCCCATTCTCTGTGCAGCACCTTGAGGGATCTTGAGCCCAGGTCATCCCCAGCAGTGACCAGTCCATCTCCTGAAGCTGCAGGGCCACCAGCTCCAACAGTGACTGACGACACTGCGCGCAAAGGTTAGGGTGCCCCTGCTGGCACAGTGCTTGGGAAATGACACCCTGCAATGCCACCTCCTCTGCTTTGCCTTCATCCCGCATGAGAGGGTGGTGGGGATGTCACTGCCACCAAAGGAGAGTAAGGGCATCTGGCTGGGATCATGGTCAGGGTCCAGCCTCTCACTGTGTGCTCCAGCCCCAGACAAAGTGGGACTGTGGGATGGGCATGGTAAGTCCTCCAGTGTCCCATGTAAGAGAGGTCAAAGCTCATAGCCTCTTGTGAAGAAAAGAGGATGGAAAAAGCCCTCAAAAGCTGTTGGGTCTCCAGTATGGGAGCTGGGCAAGGGGCAGTTTGTCCCTCTGTAACCCACATCTGACACCACAGCACCCCCCTGCTCGGGAGAGAGACCCCAGCAGATAATACCCCATCCCACCTCAGCTTTCTTTCCAGGCAAGCGCCCGGCTCCAGCCCGACCCATGATGGCTCCACCACCTGTGGCCCAGCCCCGCAGCACAGCCCCTGCCCTGGCAGCCCCGAAGCATGCAGCCAGCCCCAAAGCCCTGCCGCGACGGATGGCCGGGGCGCTCAACCGAGCCCCCTGCGTGCCACCACCGCTCCCGCCACAGCCAGCACACCGCCACAGCCACGATGCCCCATCGCCTTCCCCCAGGTCCCCGGCCAGCGAGGCCGACGCAGTGATTACCACGGACTGTGCCCCCGGAACCGTGGATGAGGGGCAGCCACTGCCTGAGGCTGGGAGCCCGCTGGCCACATCGCCCATCTGAGCAGTGAGTGGGATGGGGTGCAGTGCCCCCCTGGACCCAGCACGCACTGTGAAAACACCAGGGTGGCCTGAGGGATGGCATGCCTCTCCAGCTCCTCCATCTTGCCTATCGCCCGCCTCCCCTTACTCTCCCGTCTCCACAGCCTCCTTCCCTGCACCACCATGTCCCTGCTGGGCCCAGCCATTGCTGAGGGACCCAGGGTCCCGTTCAGGTCTCCGTGGGGACCTGGGAGAACTGGAGATGGATGGCGGGGAGGCATTTCTGGGGCTGGCGTGGGCAAGTTCTTCTGCAGGTACACAGCACTCATTACAGCCCCTTCTGCCCCACTGTGCCATAAAACGTGTTGCCTCAGGAACACACAGATATATACACGGAAAAACGTGTATTTTGCAACGAGGTTATTTAGGGAGCCGGTGTCACAAGTCACAGGCAGGTACGAACAGGGCTCAGCAGTGCGAGGTGCTGGAGGCTGTGCACCCGCAAGCTGCAGACGGGAGGGGGACGGGGAGTTCTGCAGGGACGCCAAGGCGGAGAGGGGCGGCCGCAGCCCTCAAGGGGGTGCCTCAAGAGGTGCCGCCTCTCAGGCACCGCCGGGCAGCAGGGGGCGCCCTGCTGCCGCGAGGCCTCCCCCTCAGCGCCTCCTCGGCGGCGGCGGCGGCGGCGTGGGGAGCGGGGACTCGGGCGGCCGCGTCTTCGTGCTGGGCGGAGAAGGGTTGCGCGGCGAGGTGCGCGACGCCGGCCTGCGCCTGGCGGGAGAGGGCGAGGCGGCGTCCGCCGAGCCGGTGCGGGCCGTGCTGGTGGGCTACGACGACCAGTTCACCTTCGCCAAGCTGGCGCAGGCCTGCGGCTACCTGCGCGACCCGCAGTGCCTCCTGGTGGCCACCGACCCCGACCCCTGGCACCCGCTCAGCGACGGGCAGCGCACCCCCGGTGAGCCCGCGGGCCCCTCTCCCTCCCTTGCTGCCCCGGGGGGGCGGGGTTGGTCTGGGTTGGGGTTCACCGTCCCAGGCACGGGCGAGGAGGTTCCCTGAGCATCAGGATGCTCACATCCATCCCTGTCAGCATCCCAGTTCGCTTGTGGGACCCTCAGTGCTGAGCTTCCCGCAGCCGGGTAGCCCGTGGCTACGTCTTTTTCTCCTCCCTCTTCTCTCCAGGGACTGGCAGCCTCACAGCCGCGGTGGAAACGGCTTCAGGCCGCAAGGCACTAGTGGTGGGGAAACCGAACACGTACATGTTTGATTGCATCGTGGAGCGTTTCGGCGTCGACCCTGTCCCGCACCCTCATGGTGGGAGACCGTCTGGAGACAGATATCCTCTTTGGCAAGAACTGCGGCCTCTCCACCATCCTCCCCACAGGGCCCCCCCCCAAA